CAGGAGCCACTCTCTGCAAGGTCCTCTTCTTATAATACTCGTTTTCTCCTTTATCCCTAAATCTACTCCCACTACCCTCTCTGAAATGGGCACCCTACTAGTATTTAATAAATGCCCTTGACTGTGTTTATGTGTGTGTGTATATATATATATGTATGTATGTATAGGCTTTATTGTATTAAAATGGCATTGTGTTATACTCTTTTTTCCTTTTTAAGCTATATTTTAAGGATGTATCTTAGTTGCTCTATATACATTTAGCAAGTTGCTTCTAACTGCTGTCATGTATTCTAGACAATGTATCTGTCAAAGTTAACTCATTAACTCCCTTACAGACAGCTGTGTGACCAATTTCCTGCTACCACAAACAATTATGAAATACATATCTTAGTACTAGCCTCCTTATGGAGCTTTACGGGAAGCTATCTGGGACATAGATTCAACAGGTGAGATTGCTGGGCCACAGGACAGACAAATAATTAATTTTACTAACTCAAGACATCCAGAGTACTTTCCGAAATGGTTGAATCGGTTTAAACTTCCACCAGCATTTGGAATTAATGACCTTATGAATTCTTGCCAAGATAATACAATATCTCCTTTTAATTTTCATTTCTCAGCTATTAGTAAACTTGATCATCACTCCGTTCTTATTAGCTAATCGGCGTTTCCCTTTGTAGATCTTATCTTTTGCTCATTTTTATATCGCGATTCCTGAATTTTACTTCCTGATTTGCAGTCCCTAGGAATGTTTCTATATCAATGTCATTTATTTTACACATTGCTAAAAGCTATTCTAGTCTGTCACTGTCCATTAATTTGTTTAAGGTGCTGTTCGTTGACTAGAAATCCTTTATTTTAATATAGTCACAGTCATTATTTCTTAACCGAATTTTTTAAAAAATTATTTTGGAGTTATATTTAAGAAGCACAGCCCCTCACCTACATTTTGTTCTATTAGCTTGACAGTTTACCTTTTAATCCATCTTTATCTTATGTGGAGTCCAACTTTTTCTATTGTGCCGTGTAGGAATTTGTTTCTCTCCATACTGTGAGCCAGTGTTTCAATATTATTCACCAAATCTTTTCTCCATTTTATGAGCAATGCATCTTTATCATATATCACTCATTTCTTTTTTAATAAAAAGCAGAATGGTCTTGGAAGAGTGATGACCCAGATAAGATACAATAGACAAGAGAAATTTTCCTGCCCATCCATCTTCAGAAGGGTAGTGGTGACTCTTCGCTATAGAACCAACCTTTTGAAGCCACATGCAAATAGGAAGCCGTGAACTCACCCAGTAGCTCCACATGACTTTTTCTGATCACGAATAAAGGTAAAAACAGTCTTATTAGGTCAAATGCTTCAGCTATTTCATGTGAATTCCTGAAATTGCTTCAATGTTTGGTAGCATAATGATGTGCTTCTATATCATGTTACATAAATAAAATTCCGTTTTGATTGTTGTAACTGTGCTTCTGCAGTAACTATTTAGGATGTGAACAAACCCATGATCCACAGAATTTTCCAATGTTCCCAAAACTTCCTGAGATTCATGGAATGATTTAGGGTACTTGACATGAAATAGTATTTAACTGCTAAATTTTTGTAAGTAAGGAAAAATCTAGCTTCAAACAGGTCTGATTTATGGCCTCATTCGGTATTCTATACATAGAAAGTCCTCAAAAAAAAAAAAAAAAAAAAAAGTCCTTGGCTGATTACCTGGCTGAGAGCCCACATATTTACTGGGTTGGAATTTACATGCAGAAAGAAATCTTTTCTCAGGAAAGTCGCAATCTGTCTGCCTTTGCCTTTTGTTAGAAGGGGAAACCACCAGGGACTTCAAGGTCGATTCTATTGGGTAAAACTTTAATCTATGCGATTGTTCATGGAGCCCTTCCCAGGGAGCACAGAGCACTACGGACTGCATGCCTCAGTGAATATTTCTGCCTCGGCCTTGGATTTGGATGAAAACTCTTTTGGAATCTTATTATTCAGTTGCACTGCCCAGCAATGCTGCACAACAAGCAGAGAAACAGAATCAAGCGAGCCAGTATTTCAATTCGAAATTGGTGGTGTGTGGTGTTATGAGCTGGAGTCCTAATTAAAGAGTTAGCATTGTTTTCAACACCTGGGGATGCGCTCGAAGTTTAAGAGCAGAAGAGCAAAGCTAGCCCACCTACCAACATTTAAAAGCGATGCTCATCACACCCAGAGATTCCTTGAGTGTCATGGTCAGACCTGGTAGTGGCTCATCTATATACATCTACAAGACAAAGTGCATAGTTTTCCTGTTTTTGTTTTGATCTTAGTTAAAAACTTGTAGTAATTCACCATTACAGAACAAAAGAACACAACTTACGATTAACAATTCACATAGCCAGTAGGTTACATTACAAACATTTGTTCTATTGTCTTTTAGAAAAAAAAATTTTAATGCTGCTTTGGAACAAAAGGACATTATGGGCACATCACAATGGAATATGAGGAAGGTCAGTCTCTGCCAGGGAGGAAATGGCATGGTGCGGATGAGACCTCCCACTCCCTTATTTCTCCACTACGAGAGAGAGTGAAGGAGAGTTTCAAGTCATGGCTGATAATGCCCTGATTTCACAGCAGCTACAGACCCATTTAGGAAAGAAAGACAAAGAATGCATATGTTCTTTTTGGCCAGAGACTCTGGATGAAAGAATCTAACTGGAACTGTAAAATTTTGACATGCTTTTAGGATGGCAAGACAAATGTTAAATGAGAAACCAATTTCAGTTGGAAAGTCTACAGTTTTCTCCACAACTTAAAAATTTGTTTTCTACTGAACTTTTACTGGAACATGGGTATAATTAGGACATGTTCCTTGATCTCATATTATTTTGAGTATTTCTGAAATCCTTATCAGTGACATCGAAGATCTAGTTTCGATATTTTAGAGAAAATTTCCAAAGTGAAAATAGGAAGCTAAATGGGAAAAACTTACATAAGCTCTAAATGTCCTAATCATATGTAATTTTTATTAAGATAACTTATAAAGTCTCCATATTGATATTTAATAATTTATTTCAGTATATTCTATTAGTTTTACTCATCGATCATACATTTCCGATACCAACAAAAAGAAAAGTCTAAGTTTTTACTCACCAGAAAACATTTTGAAGAAAACATTTTACTAACTAGAAAATATTGGAATGCTCTGATCTATTTTTAATAATCCATTGTTAGTAACATGATAGAGACATGACCAATACTGCTAGCAGATTTTTAAAAGCTAACTAAATGCATTAGAAGCAGTAAAAATCAGTCACTTATTTGCCACCACCAAAAGAAAGATAAATGAATTAGGCTTTCTGTAACTAAAAGCATGTTTCTTTTGGAAAATATTTATGTATGCTAATAGGTTTCATTTGCTATAGAACAAATGAAAATATGAACTAAAAATGGCATCACAAACGCCAACTACAATCAAATTAAAGATGTATTTTATCAAAATAAACGATTTACATCAGAGTGTTCTTACAAGTGAACATTTAGTAAAACAATAATCTGGCTAAGGTAAGAATTCAGAATTATAGCTGTAATTCATTCAGCATACTGCCCAGTCTGTTCCACAACTATTTCCTCTCTCCTTGCAATGGTATAAAGACAAGCAGGAAAGTATGCACGTAATGACTTATTTAAGTCAAATAACTTAAATAAGTAATTTAATATAACGTCAGTAGATGCAGCGATGACCTATGTTAACAGGTATCATAATAATAGAAGGGAGTGGCTGTGAAAATGCTAATATTCAATATCTACTAAAGCTTCATTTCAGATTGATGTTTAATTTATTAGTTTTATTTCTCATGTGAACACACACTTTTCCTTATGAGAATTACGTTTTTGTGTGTTTTAATTCTTATAGCTTTCTTATGAAATCTGTCATGTTGGTATTATGCACATTTCACAGATATGGGCTCAAGGCAGCACCCTTACACCTACCCTACTCTCATGTGTCAGTTCTTGGGGCAAAGACCACGCTCTACCTTCAAATATCCTCATTCTGATTAATCAAAATCAAGGGGACAGCTTTTACCCCTATCATATTCCATCCACCGAAAATCTTCATTTAGTAAAATCTTACTCATAATCTAGGTTTAATTCAGAAATCATCTCTTCTCTGAAACAGATTCCATCAAAATAGATTTAATTATTCCTGCCTCCATTCCTCATAGTACTTTATGGGTAACTGCTGTAATAACATTTATCATATAATATCACAGTTGATGACACACACGTCCATTTCCTCCTGCAGGACTTAGTCATCCTTGTACCTCTCTCAGAGCTTGTTACAGGGTGAGTATGAAGTAGCTGTTCCATGATTTAAAAAAATAATAAATCAGATGAGTGAGCCCACAGACAAGGCAACAGGTAAGAAAAATTAGAGATTGGAACCATTCACATCCTTGAAGTAGATCCTGTTAGTAGGTGATGAAAAGGCTTAAGAGTAAGGCAGGAAGTTAATACAAAGAGTGATTTTAAAATGTAGATAGAGGTGGGAAAGAATTGGCCTAAAATCCAATCATTGCGAGGCATCACAGCTCATGACACAAGTGAATGTAATCAGAAGCAGGCACATTACCATACTAACAGAAGGATTTCATTCCTGAATAGTCAAGGGTTTCTCACTGAAGTACGTGATTTTCTTACATGTGTTCTTTAAGACAGGAGGAAAGATGAGAAAGATATTATTGATAATAGAGAGGCCTGCCAGAGAAAGAACCCCAATGAATGCTGGCAATTCCAGAAAGGGTTTCCAAGACAGCATGCCTTTCATTATCACTCTGGGGAGGGTGGAAAGTTGTTATATCAATAAGGAAACATTCATTGAGTCCCTGCCTCATGTAAATACTTGGCAAAGAGTTTTCATAGATTATCACATTTTCCTAACATTAGTTAGACATCCTGGTTCCCATTTTACAGGAAGGGAATTGAAGATCAGAACGACTGAATGAGCTGCTAAGGTTGCACAGTTAGTGGGGAGCTTTGATCAAACCGAGTTTCGGGGCTTCTCCTATTGTACCCTACAGTCGCCTCTTTTTGTCTTCAGAAACATCATTACCCACCTACATCATTCCATTAAAACTATCCCCATTTAACGACACTATGTTTAGGCTATTTGACATTTGCTAAATTGTAATTTGAGGATTCCCTTCATATGAAGTTGGAGAATTTGTCTATATTCTTTGGGCATCTCGTGGAACCCGCGTTTAGGTAAGTTGTTGTCATAGTAGTGATGGCTGACAGGTGTGTCATGTATCGTTTTAGAGAAGGGCCAAAATCCATACAGTTTCACGTTCTCACACAGTTCAACTGCCACACTTGTGATCATCAAACCAGAAGACAAGCGATACTCTGTCACACCTTTAGTTCTCCAGAAAAGGGCAAGGTTTCTCAGGTACTTGGGATGGAAATATATAACCTTTTGTCTGGCTTTAGATTCTTTCAGTGTGTGGTACACTTTAAAAGAGGCACCGGTGTTGGCCCTGAAGGAAAACGCTGGCAGAAGAAGGAATGCATCTCCATAGGTTGCGATGTCCTCCAGAAATACTGCTTTCTTTTCCTTTAAGTTCCCATATCTGTCAAATTGTAAAAAAAAAAAAAAATCATAATAACAACAATAATAATCAAAGTAGTGATTTTGCTTACGTGAGGCTGAATTTACCACTGGCCAAAAAAAACTGACCCATGTATCTTACTGTATGTAAAGAGACAAACCACAGACTCAGAGAAAGCTCATGCATGTGAGCATCATGGATGCTATTGAGCACTAGGCCTTCATCTCTCTTTCCTGGGTCTCTTAGGGTTTCATTTCTGCTTTCTTACCAGGCTCTACCCTTACTGGACACACATTTCTTACACTCTTTTATCTTCAAATTCAGTAATTTTTTTTTTTTGTAAGGTGGCTTTTTGATACTGAACACGGCTTCCAAATTTATAATAATGAAACATTTTCTCAAACATAGCACATTCTTGAAATACATTAAAAAATTCATTGAGCTGTACATGTGATTTGTGCACCTCTTGTACATACGTGATTATAAAATTTTCCTTGGTAAATCTAAACTATCTTTTCGCATACAGAAATATGCACACATACACATATATTTTAAATTTCTTCCATGTATTGTGATAGCTCCATATATTTGATTTAAACAATACCTTAGTAAATATACTTGTAAGTACAATTGTGTGTGTTTTGAAAGTAAGCTTTTGAAAGACAAACACAACATTTTATATTTTCTTAAGACATACTAGAACTACTTGAGGGGTGAATTCTATTAATAACGATTATGAGTCACTTTTGATGAAAATAATGGACTAAAACTATATATGAGATTTTTATTAACCAACTAACATTTTGCAGTAATTGCATTGCAGAAAATGAAACATGGGAATCATTCTTTAGTAATATACAACCTAAAGTAAAAATCAAATTTTGCCAGGTTCTCCTAAAGCTTATTCTCTAAAGTTTCCAAATTGACTACGTTTTATCAAGAGCTACCAAGATAAAGTAATGCTAAAATTCTGAAAGAAAATGAAAAAAAAGTAACTTCACTACTATCAATGTTCAACTCACAACATCAGCTTACGACCTCTTATGAGCCACAACCTTGACAGAAAGTCAAAAATTACCCATATATTTCTATGTATTTTCTCCAAAAGCCATTCCAGCTGTTTTGTAAGTCAGCCACAATGAGATTAGTGCTTAGACTAAGAAACGTGTTAAACCATGAACAAACGTTCTTGGACAGTTATATAAGTTGGAGGTACTTACTTTAGTCTTATGATACTGGGATTTACGGTCACAAGATTGGTTTTGCTGCCAACATCTTTGCTAGCATCTCCTGTGGTTGGGGGGAGGTTACACCTGAAATTTGTAAGGAAAACTATTATCAAAATACAACTTGGAAAAAAAAAGTGGCTACACACACATACATACATATACACAAATACATGTGACCACTGTCATTTTATTGGATAAAATCACTGCTATTTAGAGATCCTTAGATTTCACCTGATTTGCATTTAAAACTATTTAATAAGTAAGTACTGAACTCAGGTGGTTCAGCATTACATAAAATATACAAATGTGATAAATGCCTTCAATATTGATTAAGATCTTTATAAGTAACAAAACTAGAATGACAATTATACTTTGCCTAGCTTTTGAAGTGTTTACAATCTTCTTACTGAAATTATTATTTATATTGATTATATTCTGAGGGGTATGACCAACAATTTATAGATTTTAAAACATTGAAAGGCATTATGAACAAGTTTATAGAGTCTGCCAGAAGCAAACAAATCGAAATCTCCTGAATCCCATATGGATAGTTTTTCCACCAAATTATGCTGTTAATAAATAAAACCCTAATGTTCTTATAATGATATTTTCATATTGATGTTTTTCATCCTCTTTTGAGTACTAATTTGTTTTTAAATTGGAAAACAAATTAAGAATTGCAGTTTTGAGTAATTATATTCCTGTCACAAAAAAAGAGAAAGTCGGTTATGATTCCTTAAGTATCATCTACAGAATTTCAAGTAGACCATTTCTGAGTATTTTCTGAAGGAAGGCTGCTTGATGTGTTCTGAAGTATGGCTGAGGTTAAAATATTCTGCCCCATGCTCTACGATACACACAGACAAATAAAGGATGCACTTCTTACCTTGCTAAAAAAGAAAAATAATTAAATAAAGTACCTTGGGAAAAATCAATACTAATCATAGATAACAGGCCAGAAATGACCTCATTAGTGGGCTTCCTGTAACAAATCTACTTTCTAGAACAGTCCCATATTCTTCTGAAGAATCAAAGGTGATTCCTAATATATTATAGTATCGAAGGAGACTATAATAAAAATATCGGGTACTGCATATGTACAGTTGCATAGTAAAGTCACTCAGGGCCTGTTTTTGTTCCTTACACTCAACTGATAGCTCCTAGTTTTCTGAAATGAAAAAACAGTGATAATAGGCACTTTCTAGATTGTTTTATAAAATATGAACATGTACAGGCAAAATAAGTACAGGCTTACAAATTAAATAAATTTTAATGACACCAACCATGTCTAGCCCTCATTTGCCTCTTAATTTGGAAGGCTGACTTCAAAGTGAATTCTGTGTGCAGAAAAATATCTGGCATCAGCAAATGTAGAATCCAGAAAAATACGCATTTATTTTAGAGTCATTAAGTAGTTATTGAGATTTAAAAACAATTTTAAATGAAACTTGTCATATTTACTATATTTGCATAAAGTAAAATGGATGTTTAGGCATGATATTTCAGAATTTGGGGAAATTTTAAGTTTCTAAAAAGTCTATGACAAGAACTATTTATCTTCATTTATGGCTTTTTCATACTGAGTACTTTAACCAAATGGCTAAATCATTCTGGTATTGGCCATTTTAACTCTAATCATAAAGAGCAATCCAATAATTGTTAGACTCTGTCGGGTCTGTTGTTCTGTCATTACTTTCAGCATAAAAGATTTAATTGAGATTAAAGTCAGGGGAAGCTACTAATTCAAAATAGTGTTTTTTCTTTTATTTCCTAAAAAAGGACAGTATTAAATCACGTAAGAATCCAAGGGTCTCCTCTGATGTATGAAATCAAGTGTTTCTGAAATAGGCAGAAAGATTTTGACTTACTTTTTAAAAAGATTCATTTTCAATTAAAACCCATCCTCCCAGGGATGCATCGCCTTTCCTTCATATTCTGAAAGTGGAGGTGCCCTGTGACACGGCTTATGAGCACAGGCACCCATGCAAACCACCTTTGTTTCTGTTTTTGCAAGCTAGCTGGTATTGAGATATAAACATTAAAAATAGACATATAATTTAGAAGGTGTACAATTTTTTTTTTTTTAAATTTCAAGCCAGAACACTAAATAAATAATGAGGTTGCATGGTTATGCAATGCCAAGGTAAGCATTTTCCCAAGTATTACCTGAGAACAAAATTTCCTTGAAATGCTCTTAAAACAACAACAGCAACAACTGTTTTCAAGGTCAGGTGAACCTAGAAATGCTGCCCCCCTAGAGTCCTCTCAGGGAGCCACGGTAGCCTTAATACACTGAAGGCTCTGACAAGTCCTGGAGTGCAGAGTCTCTTTCACCACAATCGCACCTAGAACTTCTGAAAAATAAATGATCCTAGCACATTTCTATTCTTCTGGTGTCAACATTTGGAGGAACTCATGACTCATTTAACATTTCAGGAAAGGCTACCAAGGTAATTTGTAGACTTAACACAGCTCAAAGGTCAAAATTTACATGTAGTATCTTTACAGCATCTCTTGAAAATATCCAACTGACCTTTGGTTCAAAGAAACCAGCTTGACAGGTCTTACCTAAAAACAAAGTCGGATTTGTCTATTTCGGCTCCGCAGAGAGACTTATTCAAAATTCCTCCATTTCCTACCACTGCACACTGATTGTAAGGGTGCTCCACAAAAGGCTGAGACTAGCAGGAGAAAGTGAAAAGCTACCATGAAACACCTTTAGTTTTAGGACCATAAACATCATCAGCTTAATTCAAGTAGCTTAATTTTTACACATGCTAAGGAAAGAAAAAGAACAAGAACAAGAAAAAGAAGTAGCAAGACCATAGCATATTGATCAACTTATGACTTAAAAAAATCCTCTAAACCTGTTTTATTTGGAGAGAAATACACAGCATATCATATACAACATAATGTAATAATTCAAAATGTAACATACTTGCATATAAAATGTAATAGAATATAGTTTATGTCACATCATTAAATAAATAAAATGAGAAAGGCAAAATCCCACATTGTGCCTTATGAATCAACAGAAACATTTTCAGCCAAAAAGAGAAAATAAAGCATTTGCAAAGTAGTGTTAAATCCTCTATTCTTGGGCATAAAATTAACAGCTGATTTAGCAAAAGTTTCCCATGCTTCTTAAATAGTCAGACCTTCAGACTCGGTGATGATATGACATTTAACGCCTGCTGTCTCCCCCAAATGACCAGCCACAGTACTTCAGGGAGGCCTACTCAATCTGTGCTGACATATTTTAAATTAATTTTCCAGCCTGAAGCTTTTTAGTTTTTTTCCCCTCCAGGGTCTAACTTGCCTACCCCAAAAGATTTTCCACTTTCACCGAATCCTCCCCAGTCTGAAACATCAATGTTCAGTTCAACAGTGCACATTTCCTTTCGGTCACTTTCCTGAAGGAAGGATGTGACATCACAAGCAGCAAGGGTGTCAACTCACATTCCACAGTGACAGGGTTCCTGATTCACTTATTTTGTCTCTCGAATTTGACTGTATGTCCTCAAGGGCAGAGAGCGTGTTTATTACATTTAATTGTTCCTCATCTTTCACTGCAGACCCAGCTCAGTGAAAGGTACACAGTGACTTAGTGACTTTTAAATTAGTGCTCGCTGGTCCAATGGCCCACACAGCTGCAACCCCCAGTGTTAGGCTGAGACCGGCATGAGTGAGTTTGTGACAGCCAGCTGGTAAAATATGCAAGAATTTTGTGAGTGGGTTGTTAAACTATTGGTAAATTAAAATTGGCTGTAGTGGTGGTATTTATACCACTAAAATTGGCAAGTCAGGGCACCCAATTCCCCAAAGGCAGCTTACCAGGAGCATGAGCAACACTCTAGGGCCAGTGTGGTTCTGAGCAGCCCAGCAGACCCCTGAATCGCTATGACTGCCATGTGCTCCTGATGCTGCATCTGGGAGATGCCCAACAAGCAGAGAACACTGCTTCGATGCTTATAGATTTGTCTTTAAAAATTAAAAATCATATAGTGCTTATTATGCAAGAGGCCACCAAGCGCATAACTTACTAAGGCATTTAATCCATACAACAACCTTATGAGCATTTTATAGATGGGAAAATGGAGGCACGCGTTAACGGCTATAAAGTGGCAGAATTGGGATACCAACCTAGGCCTTTTGCTACAGAGTCCACGCTCTTAATCACTACACATTACACAGCTCCTCACATTCAGTGGCTAAAACGTTAACTTAAGTACATGCGTTATTTCTCTTTATATCTGCAATGCCTAGCAGATTGCCTAGCTCTGAAATGAATGGTTCCCAGATACCCCAGGGAATTACAAGTCACTAAACTTCTAGCTCAAGATGTCTTCAGACAGTGTTTACTAACCAGTACCACAATAAATTCTGAATTTTATAGATAGAGTTGAATGCAAATAGGCTCTTTATGGTACAATAGAAAAGATTACTGAGAGAAGCATATCTCCCATTAAGCAGTCAAAATAATGTATGTTTTTCTTCGGCTTTTTGGTCAACCGTGGGGAAATATCCATATGCTTTGGGATCTCAACATTCAGGAAGAGTTTACATAAGCTACAAACTTCAACATTCCCTAAAATAAACCTAAGAAATGCAAATTTGCATGACTCAAGTGTTTGCACATTGCTCGCTCTGGTCAAAACCCAACTTTGTTGTTCTCCTTTGCAAGTGACTTAGCAAAGTTTTTAGAGAAGGTGACTTCACCGCATTTAATCTATTGAGATTTCGTGCTGTGTTCCCCACAGTTCTTTGGAGCTGAGTGTGGCAGAGCAGAACCGAGCAGCGTGAGTGTGCAGGAAGCGAGGTGGGAAAGAGGTAGCTTCCGCTAGGAGCCACATTCATGGAAAGGAGAGGTTTAACAGCAGTCCCCAATCTTTCCGGCACCAGGGACTGGTGCTTCTGTCAGAATTGAATGCCTGATGATCTGAGGTGGAGCTGAGGTGGTGAAGCGCTGGAGAGTGGCTGCAAATACAGATGAAGCATCGCTCACTCACCTGTCACCCACCTCCAGCTACGTGGCCCGGTTCTTAACAGGCCACAGACTGGTACCAGTCCGCCACCCAGGGATTGGGGACCCCTGGTTTAAGGAACACAGAAAAGTTACCTAGCTTTGTAACTGTTAATGGACTGTCTTCAGAATTTTCTCCCCCCAATTTTTAAAAATTAGCATAAATTTGGATAATGGTTGCTGTTATTAATTGCATACAGAATTATCAAGACCATCCTTTTCCAGGTGCTAATTAGAAGAAAAAAAGAAAAGAAAAAAAACCACCTGCTTTTCCTCTATTGTGGTCAATTTAAAGCAAGGAAAACACTAGCAAAAATCGCATGGGTGACAAAGTTGCTCATTGTGACACTCTCCACAGCCTTCTTTGATTGGGACTATAAATATTCGTTACTTATTATCTTTTCAATTATTGGTAATTCCAATGCACCATGAGGGCATTGTTAGAATGCTTTATGAGTTATTTTATTGCCCCCCTTTCTTTCAGAAAATATGCAATATTTTTTTCTATTGTTTTTTTCTTTTTTCATTAATTCCCAGAAAACTATTCTTCCTTTGAATTGTAATATTTAAAAAAAAAATTAGAATAACTTATATAACCAACAATAAATTAGCAGAAAGAAGTCAAATGTCCAAAAAAAAATAATTGTTAAGAATTTAATATTCTACAATTGGTAGACTACATATAATAAAGTTTTTTATTTTTGACCATACTGACTTAGTCTAATTGTTTTTAAACAAATCACAGAAAGATTCCTGAGAGTAAATTTTTCAAGCAATGGGATATTCTTCAGGACAAAAATTTCCCCCAAGTTTGGATTTATATTAAGGGACAGGTTTCTTCTTGTAATAGTACTGTATCATAACTCATTAATTTATTTAACAAATATGTGATGAGTGCATATATGTACTGGAGAATGTTCTAGCATCTCGAGACACATCAGTAAACACGCCAGGCAAAAATCCCTGTCTCATGGGGGTTATGTTTATTGACCACAAATTCTTACATATTTACTTCCCAAAGATTAGCCACAAACATCATTCTTTGTGAAAGAACTGATTCAGTTGCCAACATTGACAATTGGAAGAACCTTATTTCAGGTGAAAATTGGTCATCTTCCCAAACTCCAGCAATTCTTATGAAGAAAACCCAAGTACCTCTATCTCATTCAAGGATGAGTCATGAAAACTTAAGAACTGGGAGAGCTTATTACTTAAGATATAAATACCATTGCTTGCAGAGCCACCTTGCATTCAAAATTGCCTTTTTAAAAATGGATGCTATACATATCTTATACAACAAACGGTACGGTATTTTAAAAACAACTCCTCCATTATTATAAGTTATAACTAAAAGTGAGAGGAAATTTACCTGGAATGGCGACATAAATAAATCGCAACAAATCTTTACTCACCACTGGAAACATATTAAAAATGTTCTCTCTAATTAGGATTTCGTTTTTACTTTCCACCTCATAACTCATGTTAGTCCCAACTGGAGTGTTATTTTGAGAAACAATAAAGTTTTGAACAGCATCACAACAGGAAGCAAGTTTTGCTCTGCAAAAAAAAAATAAGAATAAAAGTGAGCCAAGGATTAAGCTTAAGAAACCAAAAATAGAGACTACGATGGGAAATGCGAAAGAGGATTTTGCTGACTTTCAGAAAGAAGAGAAATCATTCACGAAGACGGCATTTTTATCTCATTTCATTCTAACTGGCCCTGGATGGTGAAATGGTATCATCATAGGATAAAAGAGCAAAGAATGTTAAGCATACTGATACTTAGATAGGGACCTTCTTTACCAATAGAAACTACTCATTAACATAATGGTTTAAATATGAAAACTTCCTTCTAATGAAGATGTTATAACATTAAGGAGAAAAATGACAGGACACATTATAATTCTCTGACAATAATTATAAAGTACGGAAACTAAATTAAGAACAGTGTTACAAATGTTCACCAAAGCCATATGTCATCATTTATTATGAGGTAAGTCCAATGAAAAGAAGAATCATTAAATACAAGTCATTTTTTGCGCTTCAATGAAGTATAATTCACAAATATAAATTGTTTGTATTTAAACAGTTTGGTGATGGTTTGGTGTGCATATACACTGTGAAATAATCACCACACTCAAGCTAATTAATATAGCTATCACCTTACAGTTATCATTTTTTTGTGCAAACACTGAAGATCCTCTTAGCAAATTTCAAGTATACACTGCAGTATTGCTAATTATAGTGACATTGCTGTACAGGAACACAGTGAATTTTTAAGTTAAGCAAAGTTAAAGTTACCATTCCTTACGAAAAGGCCAGAAAAATATAACTCGATATCAAGATTTCATTTCAAAACTCTTGCTATGGAGTGAAACATTATCATTAGAACAGGTGTCCCCAGTCATTCTGAGACTCTAATGCCTGATGATCTGAGGTGGAGCTGAGGCGGTGATGCTAGCGCTGGGGAGCGGCTGCAAGTACAGATGTTTTTTTGGTCATCGCCTCCTGCTGTGAGGACTGGTTCCTAACAGGCCACAGATTGTACCATGGCCTGGGCATTGGGGATCCCTGCATTAGAATGCAGACCCAGGAAGGTCCTGGCGGGGCTCATCTGAGTTTGCCCCCACCGTCTGGCAGGTGAATGTAGAATTATGCAGGCTTTATGTATATTTTTTAATATAATTCTTCAGGGATGCAGATTCCATAGCATCTCCTGATAATTATTCCAGAGTTTAATCAGCCTTGAAGTCAAGAGATTCTTCCATTTGCACAACCGAAGCAGCTTAACTTAAATCCATTTCCCTTGTTAGCTTTTCAGAGAACCTTCTGATAAAAACACTTCAGGAAATTGAAAATGGCAAGCAAGCAAAACTTGAACCTTTTCAATCTTGAAAAGTTTTAGAGAATTCTCTCTTCTCTCAGATTTTCCTCATAGGACCAGTTTTTCATTATTTTAGTCATCTGGCTCCTCTATAAATCTGTATCTATTTCTCCATATTACTTAAAAATATATATATCAAAGCTGGGTCTGATCATAGCACAAGGAACAGTGACTATTCGGTGAGCAGAGCTGACTGTGGGTAGTGCTGACCCTAGATTCATAACTAGACTTTCTCCATTGCACATTTTGTATAGGGTTTTGGTCCTGAAGGGTATGCTTTTGTATATGTTCCTACTGAATTCTGTCTCTTTGAAAAAATACAGTGCTTTAATCTTGAATCGTAATCCAGGCTTCCTGAATTCCAGTAGTTCTCAGGGTATGAAAAGTCAGGGCTGTCATATTGTTTGTGCCCTAAAATGAAGATTTTCTTATAATACTTCTTATCAGTTAACTCATCAAAATAGCACATTCTTCTTAACTGAATTCAATCATCTGCTTATTATGCCTCTTTGTATTTCAGAATCCACCATTTCTAAAAGACAGTTCAGAGATTAGCAAAAGGAAAAAAACCGAAAATGATGTGTAGTCAAAAACATAATACTACATAGTTTTTAATTATAATTTCATAAGAATTCATGTGATACATTGTAAGCTCAGAAATCCTTATGTATTTACAATTTTAAAAGTCTCTTTTATGCAGGATTTTGAGAAAAGGCAATGGAATACATTCTCATTTACCTTTGACAAGTAATTTAATTTCTCTAAGAATAGTCGCTGCTTAAAAGAATATTACACCACCAGAAACACTAACCAGTGTACCCTGTGTGGTTTTTGTAATATTAATAGGTTTTTTTCTGAAATTATATTTTCGACATTATAAAATTGTCAAACCTACAGGAAAGTTGAAAGAATTGAACAATGAGGACTTGAATAACCAGCTATACTCTACGATTAGCTTTTTACTCATTTGTTTTACTGTGTAGTGATCCATCAATCCATTGTTGTTTATTCATCCCTCAGCACTTCAGCATGCATATCATTATTTTGTGTATATTTTGGGGAAAAATCTACACATGGTAAAATCATAAGCACATTCAACGAATTCTAAGAAATGCATACACCCCTGTTATCTGATGTCCTATCGATATCGAGGTAAAGAATATTACTAACCCCCAAATAACTCCCTCATCACCCTTCCCCAACCTGGAGGCAATCACTTTTGTGGTTAATTTTTACCAAAGGTTAGTTTTACATATTCCAGACTCTGCATAAACAGAATCACATAGTATGTGTGCTTCTATGTAAGACGCCTTTCTTTTGGAATAAATATTTTTGGAATAAATATTTTTGCAATTCACGCATGTTGCTGCACTTAACAGTCTGTTCCTTTTTATTGCTAGAGTAGTATTCTAATGTCTGGGTCAGGTTAACCACCTCCCTGCACTTTTAAGGAAGTCGCTATCAAAAATCAATGTTAAAGACCTAATCGCTCATAATAACCTCATAGGAAGAATATCAGAATAATTATCCAAAATGTCATTTCTGAAGACTATCTTGGGTGACTAATGGGACTTTATTTTAATAGGCATAGCAATATTCCCCTTCCTGTGTAAAAAGAACAGGAGACATTAAGAAATGAAGGACATTAACTAGACATAATGGTTAATTTTATGTGTCAACTTGACCGGGCCAAGTCAATGCCCGGATAGCAGTTTAACATTGTTCTGGGCATGTCTGTGAGGGTGTTTCTGGAAGAGGTGAGCATTTGAATCAGTGGGCTGAGTAAAGCAGACAGCCTCCCACCGACCCTGCGGCCCAATATGAGGGGCATCATCCAATCCACTGTGGGCCCAGACAGAACAAAAGGCAGAGCGAGGCAGATTTGCTCTCCATGTGAGCTGAGACATCCATCTTCTCCTGTCCTTGGAGACATCAATGCTCCCTGCTTTCAGGGGTTCAGACTCAGACCAGAACTTACACCACTGGCATGCCAGTTCTTGGGCCTTCAAATTCAGACTGAAGCTTATACCACCAGCAGCTTTTCTGGTCTCCAGCTTGCAGATGGCAGATGATGGGACTTCTCGGCCTCCAAAATTGCATGAGACAATCCCCCATAATAAATCTCTTTCTGTGTATTGATACATATCCTCTTGGTTCTGCTTCCCTAGAAAATTCTAACCAAGACAGATATTGGTACTAATAAGTGGGGGTGCTGCCGTAACAAATACCTAAAAAGGTGGAAGTGGCTTTGGAATTGGGTAATGCATAGAGATTGGAAGAGTTTTATGTGCAACTAGAAAAGGCTTAGACTGCCATGAACAGAATTTTAAAGGTGATTCTGGTGAGAGCTCAGAAAGAAAAGCAGAGAACTGTAGACAAAGCTTCTGTCTTTGCATGGAAAACCTACATAATCCTCAGCAAATTATTGGTAGATATATAGATGGTAAAGGCCATTCTGAAGAGATCTCAGAAGGAAAGGAGGAACAAGTTATTGAATAATGGAGAACAGGCGACCCCTTTATCAAGTAGCAAAGAACCCGGCTGAGTCCTGTTCGAATTCCAGTGTTTTGCAGAAGGCAGAATTTGTGAGCAATGAAATTGGATACTTAATTGAGGAGATTTTCAAGCAAAATGCTGAAGGAGCAGCTTGGTTCCTTCTGGCTGCTTACAGTATAATGCAGGAACAGAGAAATGACTTGAAGACGGAACTATGGATAAAAAGGGAAGCAGAATCTAAAGACTTGGAAATTCTCATCCTATCCATGTGGCAAAAGAAATGAGAAAGTGTGCAGCAGGGAACACTATAGGTGTGGCCATGCTTCTGTTTGGGGAGGAGATTAGTGTGAGTGTGAACCATGGATTTAATCAGCCTATTGGAAAAATGCTAGTTTGAAGGAAGAGGAGAGAGGAAAGAATCAAGGAAGGCTGTTGGATTTCTTGCATTTTACAAAGATGGGATCTTAGAGCTATTTGGCCACAAATATGCAGTTTTTTAAGACAAGGGAAAAATGACCTCAAAGGTGATTCAGATTTCATCAGGATTGCCTCCTTGGTTTCAACAGGCCAGATGGTGTCTGCCCAAAGCCATGAGGACAGAGCCACCCAAAGCTGTTGGGATGGGGGTGTCAAGTAGAGCTGCAGGGTATGATCACCACCGCAGTGGGTCTGGAAGGTGGGACTGTCCTCCCAGTGGTCCTGGCAGGCAGAGCTTTGAGCCAGAGTTCCCTGGAGCCTTGAGATCTCGTGAAGTCTGTCTTGCCAGATTTTGGACTTGCCTGGGGACTGTCACCTCCTTCTTTCTTTCCTATTTCTCCCTTTAGGAATGGAAATGTCTATCCCATGTCTGTCCTACCACTGCAGTTTGAAGGTGCATACTTGTTTGGTCTCACAGATTCATGGCGGCGAGGGCTTCGATTCAAGATGAATGGTTTTCCAGTCTCACTCACACCTGATTTAGGTGATATTTACATGACACTTTGGATTTTAGAAATGATGCTGGAACAAGTTAAAACTTTGGGGCTTATTGGGATGGATGAATGTATTTGCAGGTGAGAAGAACATGAATTTGGTGTGGGGGAGAGGGGCAGAACATTAAAGACTAAACATTTGTGTCCTTCAAACATTTGTATGTTGACATGATGGTATTAAGAGATATGGCCTTTGGGAGGTGATT